GAAAAAGGAGCAGCTTGTCTGACTCTTGTCTTGATTGTCTGACATAAGCAAGAAAAGCAGCTGCCCTGGCTGGTGTGGCTCAGTTGGGTGAGCATCATGCCATGCACCTAGAGGCCGTCAGTTGGATTCCCAGTCAGGGCACATGCCTGAGTTGCGGGCTTGATCCCCAGTAGAGGGCAGGCAGGATGTAGCGATGTTTCTCTCCCTCTCCCTCTCTCTCTCTCTCTCAAATCAATTTTTAAAAAACATATTAAAAATTTTTTTTTAAAAAGTAGCTAATCTATATTGAGTATCTACTAGGTGTCAAGCTCCTTACATATGGCTCATCTTTTTTTCACAATACCATAGTATGGGTATTATTAGCTCCAAATTACAGATAAGTAAATCTATAAAATGTATAGGTGTGGCTCAGACTGGTTAAGACAATTGCTAAGATGAGCCCTGTTTTTTTCTACTACACTCTGTTTCTCCTGATTTCAAGAAATACACACCTGAGACTATTCCAGGGTCAAACAGCCAACAGCTAGTATTGTTCCTGAAGGATAGTAATATAGGGCATGTTTCAGTAGCAGAGGAAAAGAGATATTTAAGAGCCCCTAGAGAACTCAAGTCCACAAGAAAGCACAATTTCCCTGTGTTAGAAAAGCGAGGTAAAACCCCCTTCTCTCTTAAGACAGCTAACTAGCCCTGGCCTGCCCTATTCCAACCCCCATCAGCAGCAGCTCGGGCACACAGAAACAAGACCAAAACAAAAGCCACAAGGAAACAAATCAAAACTTTATACCAAAAGGAAAGCTTGCAAGTGGGTGGTCCAGTTCCCTGATTAACCTGGGTTTTCTGGGTGCTCTGGATAGTAATCAAATGCATTTTGTGGATATTAAGCCATCAACTTGCCAACTAAACAAATTTATCAACCAAGCTCCAATGAGGACATGATTGACTCTGGTTCTGAGCTCTCACAACAAGCGGCCTGGCAGCCCCTACCTAAGGCAGCCCCCTACCCAGTCCACCTCTTTCTCTTTCTTTCTCTACTATTTCAGAGGCTACATCATGTCAGCTCACTGGGGGTTTTCACACCCCCACTGGCGTGTAGATTCCCTCCCACTGTTTTTCCCAACAGTTGAGCTCTTGTTCTCAAGGGCACCAAGTCCCAGAGATGGCCACAGCACATTAGTAATCACTGACTCACCCCAACCCCTTAGGAGGCATGGGGAAAGGCAGAGGGCCACAGGATGTATGGCCCAGGTCCCTTTGGCCCTCTGCAAAGCTGTGGGCAGAGAGGTGCCAGTAACACTGCTTCCCCTCAGCACCCCATGGATGCTCTCTGATCTGGCTGTGGTGCCAGTGGGCTGATGTCAGGCTCTGCACCATCAGAGAGACCAGGATCTCCAGACAGCTCCACCGATGCCAACAGATCTAATCTCCCCATTCCAAGGCAGATGAAACCCAGTAAGGCTGCTAAGTCCACAACTTATCCCTTCTCATGGGCAAAGGCAAAGTCAGCCCTTCGGGTCATACCAACAGTAACAGCAGCATGAACACTGCCTCTTAGAGAGTTCTTTGAGGAACTGGGAACTATTTCCCCGGGTCCTTTATTTTACCTCCGTCAGTAAATATTCCATCACCTAGTTCACTTTCTTTCTCCAAAACTTCATTTTTAGCTCCATCATATTTCTGGCTCCATCCCAGTGCTACCAGCTCCGATCCTCTCTATCCACGGAGCCACTGGAATCAATGTCCAACTCCCATACCAAAGGGGAACCCCAAAGTCAGCTCTAAAAACTCATCTGTACAGATCATCTGGGAACCTTACAGAAAGACTAAAAAGGAACAGGCAAAGAACACAAATCAGCCTACTAGGGCTTAACATAAAAAGCAGGGGGGGGGGGAAGGGAGGCAGGAAGGTTTGTGTATTGTTTCAATTGGAAAAATACACTAGTGAAATGGCTTATCCACATGTTCAGCGCTTTTAGGCAAATCCGCTCTAACTTTGCAGGATGCCTGCAGGCCGTTCTGAAAACGAGTAGAATGGCATCACTCTTTATTCCACCTCCTTCAAGATCTGCCAGTCCCCTCCCCGTTCCCCGTAACCTCCCCCAAACATCTGGTCCGAGCTGGGAGTGGGACCCACTCCCTGGAAAGCCTCCATATTAACACGAGAGGCAGCCTCCCCAGGCGGAGAGCCCTGACTGAGGCTGAAGAGTGGCCCGGCCCGAGCTTCTGACTTTCCCCGCACCAGCCAGAGGCGAAGGAATGAGAATTCAGGGGCCTGGGGAGCACGTCGGGGAAGTGGGGAGAAGTGAGAAGGGCAGCCGGAGGGGGGTGGGGGGCAGGAGGAGGAAGTCCGGATCCTGGGACGGTCCCGGGCTGGGGACTCCCCTCCTAAGTGTCCAGTGGCTGAGACCTCGGTCCCCAAGGGCTGACGGGCCAGCCGGACGGCGCTGCTCAGAGGCTTCCAGGAAGGCGCTGGGGGACAGGGTCTGTCGGAAGCCCTGGCTGAAAGGGTGGGCCA